TTGGCTACGGTGAATACTACTGTGAACATTTGTGTATGTTTTTGTGTGAACATATGTTTTCAATTTTCTTAGGGATAAACCTGAGAGTGGAATTGCTGGTAACCCTATGTTTAGTCGTTTGAGGAATTGTCCAACTGTTTTCTACAGAGGCTGCACCATTTTATTTCCTCACCAGCGACGTGTACCAGTTCCAATTTTCCCACATCCTTGTCAACAGTTGCTACTGTCTGTACTTCTTATTCTTGCCATCCGAGTGGGTGTGAAGTGGTATATTGATTTGCATTTTCCTAAGGACTAATGATGTTAAGCACCTTTGTGATTACTGTTTCCATGCATACCCTCTTTGGAGAAATGTGTGTTTTATATATCTTTGCCCATTTAAATATTGGGTTATTTACTTTTTTATTGTTGAAGTGTAAGAGTGTGTGTGTATACACACATACATAAATGCATATATGAGGGTGCTTCAAAAAGTTTTTAGGAAAAATTCCCTTTTCTTTTATTGCCATTTTTCCATGAATTTTCTGAAGTACATCTTATATGTATTCTGGATACCTTGTATGTATCCTGAATCTTAGTATATAGATGTTTTTCTAGTATTTCTTCCATTCTTTGGGTATCTTTTCATTTTATTGGAGTCCTGGTGCGGTGCTGTAGGATAAACACTGTTCTATGCTGTGGGTTAATATGCTGGACTGCAAGGTCATTTGAACCAAGCAGCCACTCCTTGGAAACCCTATATATGGTCTCTATGAGTCAGAACAAACTCAACAGCACTAAGCAACAACAACAATTGTCTGCAACACAAATTTTTTAAATCTTGAGGAAGGACCACTTTATGTTTCCCTTGATTGCTTGTGCTTCTCATATTTAAGAAACCATTGCATTAAGTGCCCTCCATTTTGAGTTAATTTTTGTATGTGGTTGGTGTCTTAGTTATCTAGTGCTGCTGTATTAACAGGAATACCACAGGCGGGTGGCTTTAATAAACAGAAACGTACTTTCTCACAGTTAGAAAGTGGAAAGTTTGAATTCTGGGTGCTGATTGTAGGAAAGGCTTTCTCTCTGTGTTGGCTTTGGAGAAAGGGCCTTGTCTTATTTCACCTTCTTTTCCTTGATAATCTTCTTCTGACTTGACATCTGTTTTCCCCCATGCTGCTTGCTTGCTTCCTTACCTTGTTATAGCTCAAAAGAAATGGATTTTTTCATGACACACCCTACACTAATACTTCTTCATTAACACAATAGAGAAAACCTATTTCCAAATGGAATAATGGCCACAAGTATGAAAACCAAGCCAAACCCGCTGCAGTCCAGTTGGTTCTAACTCACAGTGATCCTATACAAGGGAATTTCATGGAAGAATTCCATTGTGTGTTCATTCCATGTTTCCACAAACTTTTCTAAAGCCCCCTCATAGTAGGACATAGTAGAACTGTACCCATAGGGTATCCAAGAATATAAATTTTTATAGAAGCAACTGACAGATTTTTCTCCTATAGAACGGCAGTTGTATTCAAACCAACAAACCCAAGTTTGCAGCCTAGTTCTTTAACCACTGCATCAGTGGAGTCTTAACCACAGGTATGAAACCCACTGCCATTAAATGGGGTGGAGAGGCACCATTCAATCCATAATAGTGAAATTGGTTTGCTTGTGGATATCTGGTTATCCTGGCATCGGTAGTTGAACCATTTTTTTTTTTTTTAACTGATTTTCCCTCTTGCTTTATTTACCATTGTTGCAGATTTTTATGCTAATTGTTGTTAAGTGCTGTCAAGTTGGTTCCAACTCATAAGGACCCTGTTTAGGGTTTCCGAGAAGCAGCTGGTGAGCTTGAACTGCTGACACTGTGGTTCAAACTGACCTTGCAGTATATATAGCTTATTAACCTACAGCACCACACTTGCAAATGTGCAAGATGTATAGTAAAGTTGTGGGGTGTACAGTTAGAACTCTATCTTGTCTTGAGGAGTTCATGTTTAATTGAAATTGATGATGTCATATACACATGAGATTGTTCAATGGTATGATGAGTATATGTTAGAAGAGTGGTGGGAAGAACTGAGTTCATTAGGAATTCAGAAGAGTGTATGAGTCTATAGCTTTGCAGAGGTGATGACAATATTGAGTTTAGGTAATAAAGACCAAGAATGGCCTGGATAGTGAAACCTTACTGTAGAGAAGTTTTGATTTCTTTTTCTCATCGTTAGAAAGCTACAAGTTTGAATTCAGAGTTCCTGGCTCTAGGGGGGAAGAGCTGGTGGAAGGACCTTGTCTTTTCACCTTATTTCTGTTTCTCAGCAATCTTGTGACTTTTAGACAGCTTTTGAAATTTTTGAATTACCAAGCTTTCCCTTAGCTTAAAGTGTGTTATTTACTTGGCTTTGGAAGCACTGGATATATATTTCTTGAGCAATTTTACCTAAAGATAAGGTCAGTGTCCACATTGGCCAGCCCAGATTGCATGGACACCTTATGGGGCATTCATTACCTTGTCTTTACCTCTTTCCTTCTCTCAGTGATTTTCATTGAACCAGACTTAGTATATTCCTTCTTTAGAGTTCCTGCAACCTTCTAGGTTTTCTTTTCTTAAAACTATCAAAAATATTCTTGTCATGGTCACTGATAAATTTGTGTGTTGTAAATCCAGTGGTCAATTCTCAGTCCACAGCCTCATACTTAACTTAGTTAAGACACCCTCTTCCGTGACACTATTTCGCCAGTGAGCCTCCCTAGCACCACACTTTGCTGATTTTTCTCCTACACCATGGTCAGTCCCCTCTTCTGGTTCCACTTTGTTTTATCCTCGTCCACTCGAGCTCTCAGGACTCCTTTCTCTTTATCATTTCTCTGTCTGGACACTGACTCCCTTTGTGATTCATTTAGTCTCATGGCTGTATTATCTGTAAGATTTCTCTCCTTAGTCTTGAACTTGCTCCTCAACTCTACATTCTTACATATCTAGCATCCACTGGGCTGTCTGACTTTGTTCCCTAGTGCTGCTGTCACACACACACCACATGTACTTGACTCTCAGAACTTTCTTTTCTCACAGTTTAGGAGGCTAAAAGTACAAATCAGGGTCTTGATTGTGGCGATTCTATGAGTTGGAACTGGCATAGCAACGACAACATGGCTGCTCTTTAAGGGACCCAGGTGTCTCATTGATTAAGTGCTCCGACTGCTAACTGAAAGGTTGGGGGTTCGAACCTACCAATTGCTCTGCAGCAGAAAACTGTGACAGTTTGCTTCCATAAAGATTTACAGCCTTGAAAACCCTTTGGGGCAGATTTATTCTGTCCTATGGAGTTGCTCTGAGTTAGAATTGACTCAGCTGCAGTTAGGTTGGCAGTGCAATGGTTAAGGGCTTGGCTGCTAAGCAGAAGATTGGCAGTTTGAAT